AAGGAGCTCTTCACTGTACACTGACACAGAGGGATAGGAGCTCTTCACTGTACACTGACACTGAGGGAAAGGAGCTCTTCACTGTACACTGACACTGAGGGAAAGGAGCTCTTCACTGTACACTGACACTGAGGGATAGGAGCTCTACACTGTACACTGACACACTGTCACACACTTTTCACAACACAGGGAAGGGTGCCTGTCAAGTCTTCATTAACACTTCGCTGTCCGTCAACTCACATCATCCAGAACACGGGCCTGTTTCACACAGCCCAGATCGCTCTTCATCCTGCGAGACGGAGAGAGAGCATTTCCACACAGCACCATGAAAAGTGAGGCGACCGAGAGAGTGAGACGAGCACCATGAAGAGTGAGGTGACACAAGAGAGTGAGAGGCAGCACCATGAAGAGTGAGGCGACACGAGAGAATGAGACACAGCACCATGAAGAGTGAGGTGACATGAGAGAGAGGCAGCACCATGAAGAGTGAGGCAACACGAGAGAGTGAGACAAGCACCATGAAGAGTGAGGTGACACAAGAGAGTGAGAGGCAGCACCATGAAGAGTGAGGCGACACGAGAGTGAGACGAGCACCATGAAGAGTGAGGCGACGCAAGAGAGTGAGAGGCAGCACCATGAAGAGTGAGGCGACACAAGAGAGTGAGACGCAGCACCATGAAGAGTGAGGCGACACGAGAGAGTGCGATGAGTACCATGAATGAGTGAGGCCACACGAGAGAGTGAGAGGCAGCACTATGAAGAGTGAGGCGAGCAAGAGAGTGAGACAAGCATCACAAAGAGTGAGGTGACACGGGAGAGTGAGACGAGCAACATGAAGAGTGAGGTGACACGAGAGAGTGAGATGTAGCACCATGAAGAGTGAGGCAACACGAGAGTGAGACGGGCACCACAAAGAGTGAGGTGACGGGAGCGAGTGAGACGCAGTGACAGAGGGAGCCCTACCTCCCCAGGAAGTCGTCCTGGTCCGGGTCTTTGTCGAACACCTCCAGCTCCAGCTCCTGGCCCGGCACCTCGTGTACTATGACCTGTCACACACACAGACAGGAGGACGTGAGCGTGCAAACCCCCTAACGAGTGTGCCGAGCCCCCCAGTCTCGAACAGGCCAGCACACCTCGTACAGCTCTCTCCACTGCGGGTTGAGGTCGTCGTCAATGGTGCGGGAGGTGAAGGTCTGCGTGCCCACTCGGACCACGGCGTAGGGGTCCGACTTGCCCTTCACCAGCCCCTTGATCTTGGTGTCCTTGGCGGCCAGCGCCTCCGCCTCCAGCAGGTGGATCCGCACGATGCCCTGCGGTGACGGGGGACCAGAGAGGGACAGGGTGAACTTCAGAGCGCCGCAGCTGCAGCGCCGGGGCGCGAGACCGAGCCGGGTGGCGGGCGCAGGGGGTGTCCGTACCCTGGGCAGCGGGGAGCGCAGCTGTGCCACGTGCAGGTTGGCCACGAGGGGCACCGTGAGCCGGTTGGGCAGGACCAAGTGGGAGGCGATGGCGTCCATGATCAGGGTGTCCGAAAAAGAGCTGCGGCGCAAACCGGGGGAAGGCTGATTAAGCAGACACTGTTGTATCCAGAATAAACACTAGGGGGCAGTAGTTAAAAAGACATTGCTCTCCACAGGAAAACCACCAGAGGATGGTATTAAAACACGGGGGGTCAGGAACACAAGCACCAGAGGGCACTATTCACACACAAACACTGTACTGCAGAGGACAAAGACTAGACTGCGCCACACAGGGCAAGCTAGGGGGCAGTTTTTAAACTCTGTACTGCGTAGGATTTTAAATCACTAAAAAACTACACTTCACAGGGTCAAACATCAGAAACCTCTATATGCAGACACTATATTGCACTGCAACAATGGACCACTGTTTGAAAACACACACTGTAATGCACCAGACAAACAGCAGAGGGCTGTATGGACTGTAACCACTGTACGGACACTCTGGTACGCAGGGCAAATGCTACAGAGATGTTTCAACAGCACTGCAACATGAAATGGTTTTGCACAAACCGCAAGAGAATGGTTTACTACTCTACTGATTACGTTACTTCTGGGAAGAGAATCCACTCACTTCAACCCAGGGATGTCCAGCAGGTTGGTCATTCCAGTCCAGTTGATGTCCAGTCGCTGGCCGGGACAGACAGGAGAGGGACATTATTAACGGACAGGGAACGCTGGAACAGGGGCAGACTGACCGGCCGGGCGAGGGGACTCACAGGGCGGCGAATGAAGAACATGGTGATGGCTCCCACCAGCGGGACGTCTCCGATCAGCGGCTCCAGGATGACGCGGAGCATCCCGTGGAGCTGCAGACAGACGGACAGCGGGAGACGGCAGACAGGGAGACGGTCACACTGACGCCACCACATGAAGGTTCTCAGACGAGACAACAAATACTCCTGCAGCACCTCAGCTCTCCCTCGCCCCTGCCTCTCAAGCTCAGGCAGGGTTTGCTCGCAGTTTAAAACAGACCGGGGACAACAAGGATGAGCTATGAACAGGATGTGAAAACGAGACAATGTCTCCATCAGCAAACTGCGAGTTCACACAGAGACGTGACCTTGCGGGGTCACGCAGGGTCACGAGGGGTCACATGAGGTCACGCAAGGGCGGAGTCCGGACAGGCAGCTCCCTCTCACCTGTATCCCTTTAACTCCGGCTTTGCAGAAGTACTTCTTGATCTCCACATTGATCTCCACATCACCAACGTAGCTGCAGGGACAGAGAGAAGGGACAGAAGAGAGACGAGCAGACAGCTTTAAGGATATGAAATCCGATCTTGTCAGGAAGATATCAGGACAGAGAGACGGTGAAACAGAGAGTGAGGGGAGGAGGGAGAAAGAGAATGAGACAGAGTGAGAGAAACAGACAGAGAAGGACAGAAATCTGTCCAGTACCTAAGGTAGAGGTCCAGCAGCACTTGTCTCTTGTCATTCTCAGTGTGAGCCTTCACCCCCACCACCTTCAGAGCCTGCCAACACAACAGCATCATTCAGCACTGGACTGGAGCTGTGTGTCTGCGGTGTGCATCTATGCGGTTGTGAATCGCTGTCCGGCACCTGTGCGGTTGTGAATTGGTGTCCGGCAGGGTGCAGTAGTGAATCAGTGCGTAGTACCTGTGCTCTAGTAAATCACTTTGCAGCAGGGTGCAGTAGTGAATCAATGTGCAGTACCCGTGAAGCAGTGAATTGGTGTACAGTAGTGAAACAGTGTCCAGTACCTGTGCAGCAGCGAATGGTTGTGCAGTAAGTGTGCACTAGTGAATCCATGTGCAGTACCTGTGCAGTAGTGAATCAGTGTGCAGTACTGAATCAATGTGGAGCACCCATGCAGAAGTTTATCAGAGTGCAGTAGTGAATCAATGTGCAGTACCTGCGCAGTAGTGAATAAGAGTTCAGTACCTTTGCAGAGGTGAATCAGTGTGCAACGGTGAACCGGTGTATGGTAGTGAATCGATGTGCAGTACCTGTGCAGTCAGTGTATCGGTGTGCAGTAGTGATTCAATGTGCAGTACCTGTGAAGTAGTGAATTAGCGTGCAGTTTGCATCTTTGCATCAGTATTACCTTCTCCCCCAGGTTGATCTTGGTGAAGCTGAGAGTCTGCAGGTGAGGGCTAGAGGCTCGCACAATGGGGGCGATTGTCTCCAAAAGCAGTTTCTCCACATACTGACCGAGGAAGGGCCAGGCCTGCTGCAGGATCTGCTCATGCAGGGAGGGAGGACCAAGAGGGAAGTCATCTATCAGATATCAAAATCCCACAGTCACCAGCCTACTGTCGCACTGCAGCGTGAATTCTTACCTTGTTCAGCCACTCTGCTTTCTCCACATCTGGGAAACTAACCTGTAGAGACACAGAGAGTCAGACAATTTTGTCCAGCAGACTGTGTGTGTGTGCAAGAATGCACCAGTGTGACTGCATGCATGTATGTGTGACAGTGTTCCCCGTGCCGCTGTGTGCATGTGTGTGTGACAGTGTACTGGTGTGACTGTGTGTGTGCGAATGTTTACTGGTGTGACAGCGCGTATGTGTGTGTGACAGTGTACCAGTGGGACTGTTTGCATGTGTGTGTGTGACAGTGTAGTGGTGTGACTGCTTGTGTGTGCAACAGTTTACCGGTGTGACTGTGTGTGTGCAACAGTGTACCAGCATGACAGTGTGTGTGTGCGTGCGACAGTGTACCAGTGTGACTGTGTGCATGTGCGTGAGTGTGACAATTTACCTGTGTGACTGTCTGCATGTGTGTGTGGGACAGTGTACTGGTGTGACTGCGTGTGTGTGCAACAGTTTACCGGTGTGACTGTGTGTGTGCAACAGTGTACCAGCGTGACAGTGTGTGTGTGTGACAGTGTACCAGTGTGACTGTGTGTATGTGCGTGTGTGTAACAGTGTACCTGTGTGACTGTGTGCATGTGTGTGTGTGACAGTGTAC